CATGTATTTCATTTCTTCCTCTTCAAATTCGTTTTTCTGCCCCCTCTCTCGTTTTTAGCATAGCAGACTTGGAGGCATATGGTACCTGTTTGCAGATGAGAGGAAAGAAATCCAGCACAGTTTGCTAGAAACTATGTGACTTTGAGTGGAGAATTGAGCTTCTATCAGAGGTCAAGGTCAAAGTGTGTCTTACAGAGGGATGATATGACGGTGAAATGGAAATAATGGCAATCAAGCACAAAGTTTAATACTTGACTCAAAATTGCCAATGAAGGAGAAAGGGCTCGTGGGCCCTACCCCTGCCTGAGAGGCTATTACAATTAAAGATTGCTGGGAGAGCGTCACGTCCCTAGGTGGTGTGGACAGTGGAAGCCAGTCACTCTCAACCTTCCTAATGCTGCAACCCTTTAATACAGTTCATGCTGTGGTGACCCCAACCATAAAATTAGTTTGCTGCTACTTCATAACTGTAATTTTATTACTTTTATGAATCATAATGTAAATATCTCATATGCAACACACAATGGAGTTACAGACCTACAGGCCGAGAACCGTTGCTCTAAGCTGTCCTGCTCAAATAGCCCACACCCATGATCAGGCAAGCAACCCTAATTAAATACAGTGGAACAGACACACCACACCACAACACCTCACAGGGAACCAGCAAGGGAAGGGGTCTTGTGGGAGTGGAAGGAGAATGTGAGAATGGGGGATGGGTATGATCAAAGTACATTATACACATGTGCCAAACTGTATTGCACATTTTAAAACTGGCTCAGTCTGTATGATACTCGTGTTCAGAGCTGACCATCTGATACAGAGTAGCCAATTGATGTGCTCATCCCTGGGGAAGACTATTGCTCCCGGTCTTCAGCATTCTTTAGCTGCCTGTAGTTCTCTGTGTAAGGCTGAACTCTCATGAGCTCTCACCTTTACATGTCCGTTATTGTCATCCTTGTGCAGATTAGGCAACCAAAGATAAATGTTTAAAAAGACAGGAAGCTGTTTTTGTTGTTATGGACAAAGATGACCTCCAAAGATCACTAGCTATTCCAGAATAGCTAAAGCCCATGGGCTGCAGTGCGGACCTCTTGCTTTTCCTGTGGGCCATTTTCTTTCCCTTCCATCTTCCTACCCCACATGGCAGCATTTACACTCTAAACACTCAGCAAGATAGACCCTGCACCCCAGAGCCTTTTCTATTGCGACCTATGATGAAATCTTCAGGAAAACCGAGTAACAGGTTCTACACACTTTCATTCATATGCTGAATTTACTTTTGAGTTCTAACTTACGAAAAATGATTTGTGGGGGTTATGCTATGGGAAATACAGCTATAGTAATATTTTATTCACTGGTTCTCACACTTACTATCCTCTGCACATTTGCCTTATAGCAGTATCTGAGAAGTACATATATACATAGGGTGATAGGGTCACCATGCTGTCCACCCTGAGGCCAGCCAGTCATCCTGCCCACCAAAGCAAGTGCGCATCAGTGTTTTACAGACCTCCAGCCCAAGCTCTCTGTGAAGGTTGTCCACTCTGTTACTAATAGAGAGACTGTGGCCTTTGGACATAAAACTTGTAGAACAGTGCTGATGTGCCTAGAAATTTGTACAAAATTCCTGTCACATTTGAGTTTATTTTTTTACAAAATAGCCTATGCCTACCAATCCAAGCAGATAAAAGGTTTCTGGATTATCCCTGAGGTTAATGAAAACACACTTAATAAAATCTGTTGCTCTTGCTGAGCCAATACACCTGAGTCTGAAGATGGTGAGACAAGGACAATAGAAAGAATAGGCATTTCTTCACACGATGTTCATGTAATAGCTTCCCTCAAGGCTCTTCAGATTTTTCAGTGGAATCTAGGTGATGTATTTTACACTAGACAGTCTTTCCCCTGCAGCATCCGGATGGTTGTTAGTTCTACTTGTCAAAGAGGGAAAAGTCCGCCAGGCCCTAACCAATCACAGAACAAGTTAACAACTATCTCCAGATAACATGCACGGGTAAGCATACAATATTGTCTGCTTAACTTCTTGCTAGTCTCAGTCTAAAGATGAGGAAACTGTGATATGAATCTAGATGGAGTTTCTCCAATATACTTGGCCTGAGCTTTGAAACTATCTCAATTAAAAAAAACAAACAAAAAAAACAAAAACAAAAACTGAAGGGGCTGCTCTATAGGCAGAGAGAGAGAGAGAGAGAGAGAGAGAGAGAGAGAGAGAGAGAGAGAGAGAGAGAGAGAACTATTGTATCGTGTGACATTAGCATGCCCTATAGTGTGTCTGGGGTCAACTGGAGAAATTCAGTATGGTCTGAATGTTGGGTATTAGATTTAGGATACTTCTTGGGGGTATGTTTATTCAAGGTAAAAGAAAAACTGTGTTTAGGGACTACATATCCAAATACCCCAGTCAACAATGCAATGGAGTTAGGTACTCTTCAAATGGCATAATAAAGAGCAAATCTAGTCACATTAACCCCTGGAGTACCAGTGAAACACAAGTATTCTCTGCACATGTATTATCCTTTCAAGATTAGTAAGTCTGAAAGTTTCAAAGCAGAGTTGGAAGGAGGAGGGATCAGGCACCACACACTGACTCTGCCCTTTAGTCCCACTGATTACTACAAATGCTAACCAGAAATCCCTTCCTTCCCAAAGCCTTGCCTGAGCATTCACCTCCACACATGCAGTGGAGTCAAACATTGGTGAAAGCCCTGCCTGGAAACAAGAACTGCTTGAATGAAGAATCGTCAGTTAGTTCACTGGACTGGCCTGTCCACTGCTCTTTTGGAACAGTAACGGCTGAGGCTAAATTACACATAACAGAATGTTGAATACTTTTCTATTTACAGTCATGTCCTGTGCCCGTTAGATTTAAATCATCTGTTGCTGGAAGGCAGCCATCATGTTGGTTTTAGTATTGTTTACTCATATAGTACTTAGCACAGCACTATCATTAAAGGTAAATCTTTAACATTGATAGGTGATTCTGTTAGACTAGAAAACAAGCCCTTCTCCATCTTCTCTCCCCATCTTTGTCCTTCAAGCACTAGCTTATTCATCTCTAGGCAAAGAAGCAAGTCTTTTCTGCACTCTGCTTTCAAGAGATCATTAGACCAAAAGCAGATGAGCTATGAAGTCTACGTGGTGTTTACTTACCTTGGCTCCAGTTTTAGACATTGTAAGTGCAGAGGCTGAGTCCACACTACTGAAAGAAATCCAGAGTAGCTCCAGAGCTACAGGCTCAGGGACATTTATACCAGGCTGATTTCACATTAAACATTTGCTTAGTCATGAGAATTGGATCCAAAATTTGACTCAGTCATTTACAGTCTATTGATGTTTGCTAGAAAAGCAATTGGGATTATGAAAGAAAGGAAGTCTCCATTGCCTGTCTAATGCTCACCCACCCGGCTGCATTGTAGACTTTGCTGAATCAAGGCACCAAAACCCAGCCAAAGTTTTAAAAATTCAAAACAAGTTTTTCTCTGTGCAGTTTTTTTCCCCCCAGCCAATGACCTGTTGGACATTCCCAATGTCCATTTAGTCTCTAACAGAGAGCATACAGGAGAATCCAAAGATGACTCTACTTCAGGGAAAGTGAGATTTGGAGGGCAAACAATCTTGCACCTACAAGTCATGAATGCTCTCGACTTTGGGGGGCTGGGAGTCACTACAAAAAAAAATTGACAATCTAAAAGCTTTTAATATGGACCATATGTTAAGCATATCAATGTTTGGCTCTTGAATTTGATTACTGCCCTATAACTAGGTAGAAGAATGTCTTTGATTTTGTGTAAATGTATGCTAATGTGTTAGGGGTAAAATGGTGTCTGCAATCTACTTACAAGCTTTATAATTAATGAGAATAGACTAGTCAATGTGGCAAAATGTTAACATTTGGATAGTCTAGTAAGAGTACATAGGATCCAGTGATCTGTTTTGTTTTGAAGAGTCTTATTACTTTATGTAAATCTCTGGCTGGCCTAGAAATCACTGGGTAGTGAAGGTTGGCTTTAAGGTCATGGCAATCCTCCTATTTCCCCAAGTTCAGGAATTACAGGCTTGCCACACCAAGGTCAGATCACCTAGTCTTGCAAATGTCTTTCAAGTTTATTTTTTCTCCCCCCAGACACAAATTAGAAAGAACTGTGACTCACAAGGGGGTGTTAAGTACATAGGGACAAAAAGCTGCCTTGAATCTCCAGAACTTTCCTAACTAGATACTCTGCCCTTTACACTGAGATCGGTCTCTAACTTTAGGAATGGTATTAATACTTTATACAAACTCAGACAAGCAATAAGCCAACCCTTCTCCTTTTGATTTTCCCAGCTGAGCCCAATTTCACATTTCTACCTTTCTACTAATAAATGTTCAACAAACACCTTTATAAATCGGCCACACACAAGAGCATTCAATTTAAAAGGGCAAATGTGGGGTGGAGAACTCACAACTGCAGCTCTAGGGGACCGGACTCATCTGGCCTCTTCCCACTCACATATACACAAACACATTGATAATAGTAACAATAAAGCTTTGAAACCATGCAAATGTGGCTCGACATGCGTGTTACCAAGAAGCAAATAACAAACCACAGAATGTATTTGCTTCCTCAATTTTATATATTTTAAAGGATTGGACTAACTCACAGAATCCAGCAATGTCACAATGATCCTTCATTTGGTCATTTTTTTACTTACTTGAATTCCATGTCAAGTACAAACTATCAAGGCTTTGAAGACTTAGGAAACATTAAGAGAGCTAATTTTACTAGAGAACTCTAAGAGTGGCTCTCTGTGGTGGTAGCTATTAATTAAATAACCTGTTAGTGATTAGAATCGTTTCATTCACATGTCTTAAAGAACAGGGCTTCCCAGCCACAAACAGACTCAACTTTGTAACAGAATAACAACAAAAACTTTTTATTAAAAGTAAAACTTACATTTTTAACAAAAGAAAATTACTTTTAGAGTTTGTTTATTGAAATTTGAAGTAGGAAATAATAATAAAAAATTTACACAATTTCATGTGTTTTATACTTTAAGGCTTAAAATACCATTTTATAAAACTATCTCTGCTATATTTACACACCAACTGACCATAATGTCATTCTTTTTCAAAAGAAAGTAGCAATTTCCTTTTAAATAGTCACAAAGAACCATACAACTCTTGTTTTTTCAGACACAGGGTCCTCTCAATGTAGACCAGGCTGGCCTGGAACTCACAGAGATCTGTCTGACTCTGCCTCCTGAGGGCCGAGTTCAGGCATGTGCCACCACACCTGGCTAACCTTTCCAGCTAGGACAATCCCTTTCACTATACAAACAAGCTTGTGAGCCTACACTTGGTCACTTAGGCACTAATGTACATAGAAATCTGCCTGGGCCAGTGTTCCATTTCAGCATGACACATGTGCGTCTTATAGCCTCCCATAGGTTAAGAAGTTCCTATGAAAGTCAGAAGCTAAATTTAACCTAAGTGAGTGCAGAACAGGAACCAACAAAAGGAGTTTGACAGACAGAAAAGCCTGAGGTCTCGAAGGCAACAAGGATGCCTTTCCAATGCAGTCTTCAGTGGGCACCTTCCTCTACTACTCCTCGTGTTTCCAGAGCCCTGCAGAGGAGCAAAGAGAATTTAATGTATATAAATTAATTTTCGTGCTCCATGCAAACATGAAAACCACTTTCATTTATAAACTCACATAAAATAGGGAGATCAGGACAATTTAGGGTATTAACATAAGCTTTATATTCCTTTATGGCATTAGTTACTATATAACAGAAAGAAATTACTATGAACTCAAAATTTGTAGGCTGGAGGTAAACAAACTTCAAATCCCATGACTTACAGTTCTGACTGGAGAGTAACAGAACTTTAATACCTACTCCTTACAGATATTTTTCTTTGTACAATCTCCACATTTCCAATCCCAACCCAGCATTGACTACATATTGTGAAATTATAGTTGTTTTAAAAAGACTTATTTTTTAGCACTTGGCTATGTTTTCTGTACGTATATATGTGAACCCACATGCACACAGTTGCCTTTGGAGGCCAGAAGAGTGTCAGATCCTAAGAGTGTCAGATCCTTTGGATCTGGAGTTACAATTATGAGCTGCCCTGTAGGTGCTGGGAACTGAACCTGGGTCCTCTAAAAGAGAAGCAGGTGCTCTTAACCACTGAGCCATCTCTCCAGCCCCCAAAATCATGTTTCTTAAAAAGAATATTGTAGGTGAATATGGCAGCACATACCTACTATCCCAGCACCTGGGATGCCAAGGCAGGAGAAATGCTGTATGTTCAAAGCTAAGTCTGGACTACTTAGGAAGACAGTGTCAGGAACAAACAAAACCAAGGAATACACACTTTAGAAAGGCAATCATTTTTGTTAGCAGCTTTGCTTTGGAAAACTGTAGTCCACTAAATAGGTAAGCATATGTCAGTGCAGCCCACTCCTAGGTATGCGTGAGAGGAAAGAAAGTGCATGGTGTGCAGAATCCTGTTATAAACATGAAGCAGTGCAAAGTGGAAGGAATCCAAAAGTCCACCGATGATCACAGATGAGTGAGTAGTCCTCTCAACGGACTGCAACCCTACTGAAGAAGGAACACTCTTCCTGTAGCAGGGATGAACCTTGACAAGCTGAGTGCTCAAAGAAACCTGTCTGCTTCCATTTATAAGAACGTCCCAGAATAAACAAGGTAAGTGCTGGGGCCTGGAGCTAAGAGAAGCAGAGGGGGCTAAAGGCATAGGAAATGACTACTAATGGGGGGAGGGTACTTTAACTAGGTGCTATGATGTTTTTTTTAAGGGTGGCAGTTGCATAAATTTGTGAATATAGTAAAGTACAATGAATTCTTCACCTCAGAAAGGTGAGTTGCTGGGCTTGATGGTAGACACCTATATTCAGCTCCTGGGGAAGGTAAGGGAAGAGAATTGCAAACTCAAGGTCTGCTTAAATTATAGGGCAAGTTCAAGGCCAACCTAAGCAATTTAGCAAGATCTGGTCTCACAAACAGCAAGTACAAAGAGGGCTGTAGATACAGCTCAATGGTGGAATGATTACTACTGTATAAGGCCCTGGGTTCCAAAAGAAGGAGAAAAAAAAGAGAAAATAAGGCCCTAAACAAACAGAAGAAGAATTTCATCATTTTGTCTCTAAAACTAAGCTTTCTCTTACCTTGGATCCCTAGTTTCACCTCTGAAAGACAATGCTGTTTATATTTTTATACTCTTTCAGAAATTCTTCAAGTATATAATCAGTGTGAATACAAAAATCTCACTGTGCTGCTTGGGTTCCCAATGGGAATGACTATTTAAAATGGCAGCCAATGCCAATTTTACCCACTTATTTTCCAGTCACTGCACTATGCAGGAGAGGTCTTGTTCTGCAGCAGGGAAGGTTACTAACTGGCACAAAGGCAGCTAACCAAGAGCTGGGCCACTGAAGAAAATGTCACCCTCCCCCAGCAATCGTTAACTGCCCACAGACCAGCAGGAAGGGAGAGGCAAGGCATCTTTGTTATTATCATCCATGGGTTCACAATGTGTGTTTGAGTGCACTCACACCCACGCCACACAGAGGACAACTCTGCGGAGCTACTTCTACCCTTTCATCTTTACGTGGGTCCTAGGGATCAAACTCAGGTCACCAGGATAGTGAGCCCTTTCCCCTCTGAATCAGTTCACCACCCATGTTTCTTTATTTTTAAGTATTTCCATTTCTATATTTTTACCATGAACATATCTTATGTCTATTTTTCTACTTTTAGTCTTTAAAAACTTGAAGGTAGCAAGTTAATTTCTATTTTAAAATAGTTTGTGGGCTGGAGAGAAGTTTAGCAGTTAAGAGCACATGTTGCTCTTGTAGAGGGTCAAGGTTCGAGTCCCATCACCCACATGGTAGATCAAAACAGTCTGTTACTTCAGTCCAGGAGATCTGATGCCCTCTTCTGCTCTCTGGGCTCACATGTGGTCCATAGATGTATATGAAAGTAAAACACTCATACACATAATAAATTTTTTAAAAAGTCTAAAAGGAGCCCTGGCCCACGAAGCCTCCAGAAACAGTTGCATCCCATGCCATGTGGCTGGGGTAGGTGGAACCCAATCACACACAGCCTGGGCTTCTAGCTCTGGCTCACAAGAAGACTCCAGCAAGAGCTCTGCACTAACCAGGGACTGTTACGATCTCTTTGTGATGAAGTATGGTCCTGCCAGAGCCATGATGAACTGAGCAGGACAAGGAGACCCACTTACAGGCCTGGGCAGTCTACTCTGGGCTCCAAGGAGAATACACAGTATGGTGAGCAGATGTATGGTGTGGTATGGGAGAGACAGACAGAATGGTTCGTGTCCTACGGACAGAGGCATATCTAAAGAGGTGAAAGACATGAGGAGTGGCTGAGATGGGTAGCTTCATTGCCACCCAGGGCCATGGTGATGTCTGGGCTTGGCCTGCTCCTGGGGACCATGTCTGGGTGCACGGCTCTCATGTAGCCATGGTCTCTTTGATGACCATGGCTCCTGATACCACTGTAGGCCAAGAGGATGGGTCTGTACAGAGTGGGCCCCATCCTCTCTGTCCAAAATACTAGGTCCTGCCCCTCACCAGCTGAAGCTTGCAGGACAGAGGGTCCCACATTTCATCCGGCAGCACAACAGAGCTGACACCATTCCCAGGGACATGGCTGGGCTGGCCCTGAGAGCATGAGAATGGGAGGGCAGGTTGTGCCCTTCTCATATGCCATGTGGTCACATGGGTGAGGGAAAGGAGCCTTCCTCCCCTCTCTCCAAGCCCTGCAGCAGGTGGGGAACCTGGCCCAACACCCTCCCCCTACCCAGCAGGCCCTAGGCCTCATTTGGGCAGCATAGTAGAGATGACCCTGTAGATGGGCTTGGGTGAGCCAGTCTTGAGGGTGTATGAGAGGCATAGCTGCTTGGCCTTCCTGGGATGTGGTGGTGGGAGCAAGGGAAAGAAAGATACCTGCCCCTTTGCCCCTTCCACCTCCAGCTGGAAAGGGAGCTGACTCTCTCCTTTACCGGCTACAACATGGAAAGTGAGTCCTGCACCTCTCCTGGGCAGCACAGCAGAGCTGATCCTGTTTACTGGGTTGTGGATGAGCTGCCCCAAGAATGGGAGCATGACAGATCTGGCTCTGCCCCTCATCCGCCATATGGCAGCATGGACAGGGAAGAGATGTCTTCCCCCCAACCAGCCTTCTATGCCTGGGTAGGAAAACGGTCTCTGCCCCTCACCGGCTGCAGCACTCAGGAGTGGCCTCTGTACCTCACCTGGGCAACAGAGTAGAGCTGGCCCTGTTGGTCCAGGTGTGAGAAAGCCAACCCTGAAGACATGAAAGCAGAAGGGCCACGCCCCTTGCTCATTGCTGCAAGGGGTGAACTAGCCAGACCAATGCCGGAGATCTCATACTGGTGGGGAGGATGGGGGTGGGTAGAGCTGGCAGGCTGACAGACCCTACAACTCTCCAGGTCCAGAGCCAGCGCTATGAGTTGGTTCGCCCCAACAACCACCCCCTAAGATCTGCTGAAGCACATGAAGGGACTGGTCCTGCAGACCCAAAGCTGCAGGATCTCCATGCACAAGGCAGCAACAGATACTCAAGAGGAGTTGCAGGGAGGGCCCAGCATCAATAGTGTAGCAGAATCCAGACGCCTGAAACCAGACCAATGACTCTGCAATGAACACTTGCAAGATACATGGACAAAAGGGTTTACTGCGTGACTCACTGTGTCACTCTACAGATTCCATGACAAGATTTTTTCTTCCTTCTTTCTTTCTTTTTTTCTTTGTTTCCTCTTTAATTTTATTTTGGGGGGAGACTGCAAGGGCAGAGGGCAGATACAAAGGGACGGTGAAAGGAATGTTATCAAGGTGCATGATGTAAAAGACACAAAGAATAAATTTTAAAACAAAGCTTTTAAAATGCTGAAAAAACAGCATTTGGAAAACTAAATCTTATTTCTACCTATATTCTTATCTACATACTTAATTCATAACTCTACTGTTCAGTAATAAAATATTTATTTGGATTCATTCTAACTAACCTATTAATAATGCCTTGTGTGTGATTATTAAAGACCAGTTTTATTAAATAGTTTGGGGGATAGAGAAAAGATATGTTAGAGAGGAGGAATAAAACTTAATGCCTGGGTTGTGAGAGACAGCTCAGCTTGTAAAACCAACCTCAGTCAGCTCACAACCACCTGTGACCATGCCTCCATGGGATCTGACACCTTTGACCTTCTCTGGGCATCCTCACTCACCCACACACAGACATACACACATACCCATACTTAAGAATAAAACAAACATTTAAAAAAGGCAAAACAGAAAAAATAATGCTATTAATGGAAAAAAATAGTATTTTTGGTGCTACAAAAATTGCAAAATAAATAAATATATATATACACACACACACACATATATATATATGTACTTACGTACGTACGTACATACATACATACATATATATATATAACTTGGCTATATTTGCCCAAATTTCTCTAGGCACCACTTGAATGTTTCTGTTTTCTCATCAAAAAGTATGTGGGTATGTGTCTACACATGGCTGGGGTAGAAGAGAATACTGGCAAGGAAAACGTAATCTAAAGCCCTTGCTTTTCTGCTTTGCACTTGATAGAGGATTTCCCAAGAGTTCCTTAAATGTTCTGTGTTCTATATCCCTACCACATGGTTCCACATGGGGTCCTATTCAGGCCCTTGTTTGGAGGCTGCTGTGTGTAGAACGAGGCTGTCCAGCTGTTGCCGATGTCCTGTATTAATCAACCATTCATAGAACTTGTTCTCCACAAGGACCTGGAACTGCTTCCTCTGCTCCCTGAAGATGTGATTGAGAGCAAAAGCATTTAAGAAGACAAACTCAACAGGTGTACTCCCATGATTATCTAGGAGCTCAACACTACTGAATTACTGTCTCTCGTTATCCTTCAGTTCTCACCGTTCTGAGCACAGCAAGAGATCATGTCTAAAGGTTTGTTTGTTGTCAGATTGCTGTGAACAAAATGAGTGAAGCAGTAGTCTAACTGATGGAATAAATTTAAAAAAAAAAAAAAAAAAGAGCCTGGGCTGGGTGGTGATGGCGCACACCTTTAGCCCCAGCACTGGGGAGGCAGAGGCAGAAGCAGGTGGATCTCTATGAGTTCAAGAACAGCCTGGTCTACAAGAACTAGTTCCAGGACAGCCTCCAAAGCCACAGAGAAACCCTGTCTCAAAAAACCAAAATAATAACAACAACAACAACTATAAATAAATAAATACATACATACATAAATAAGTAAAACAAAAAAAGAGACTGCTGTCCAGCCTGGCACACTGTGATCTCTGTGTATGTGTCCTTGTCAACTGTATAATCTTGTAGGAACTACGGGAAAAAAAGCAAGATAAATATGTAGCATGAAATTAAGTACTTATAAGAAAACTACTTTTGGAGAGCAGGTGACAATGCAGAGTGCTATTGTAGAAAGAGGGTGGACAGAAGATGTTTCTCTAATATGATATTGGAACAGAAGTCTACATGATGACAGAAGCCAAATGGCTATGTGGAATGGACTACCAGGCAGAAGAAACAGGTGATAAAGGCCCTAATGTGACAGCCTGATGAAGGTTAAGAAAGAGAAGAGCATCCCCACAGCTGCGGACAGCTCTCATAGCAGCTTGGCTGTGCTGGGTTTCTGCAGGACACAATTCCACAGGATCCACAGGATGCCAACAGCAGACAGGGCAGGGCACTCTGGAATGACTACTGCCCAAAGCAAGAACAAGATACTCCACCACCCAAATTCCACAACCCCACTCAAGTCCAAAGGGAAAATAAATGTGTTGAGACCATAAAAATGACCCCTCCTCTCTTGGACGAGTGGCTGCTGCCATTTTATCATTTCAAATACATTTCATCCCAACTGTCTTACAGATAAAATCACTAGGCTGCAACCACTTCCCCTTGCAGATGGAGTTCAACACAGCTCTCCACAAATCACACAATGTGAGCCAGGACTGAGCTGGCAGTGTGTCTTCAATCTGCTATCTGCCTTTCTGCTCAGAAGGTTCTTAACTCAAGACTTACCCTAATGATTTAACTTTATGACAGGATAATAGCAATGTATTTACTCAACAGGAACTCTACTTCAAATGTACTTTCTCAGGCTGGTAATGTGCAATATGACACCGTTGGGCAGTGGCCATGAAGTGCAGCCCTGCAAACCAACAGAGGTTGGAGAGTGGATGCTCTACACTGTGCATCAGTTCAGTAGCTTAGGAACAGTAAGTGAGCTCTTGGCTTACAAGTTCTGCTCTGGATATAAACCTCAGCTAAGCCACGGTGCACCTTCATCCCCAAAGTTACACTGGCTACTTTGTCACTGTTTTTAGCCCCACTAGGAATTGTACTATAGGTGCTCACCACATTCCAGATTCCACAAATCTCCATAAGCTTTTCACAGGTATAAGAGAGTCCTGGCATTTAAATGGTAGCCACATTTAAAGATTCTAAAGGGATTTTTTTCAATGAAGATGTTTTTATACACTATAGTTTTATTATTGTACTATGACATAATAATAATTGAAAGAATAATAAAGACACTAGAAGCATAAAACAAGGCCAACAGTATGGCCCCTGAATCCTTTGTGCCTGAGTAAGGTACTTAACCTTAGTTCTCCATTTCTCCATCTACACTTGGGTATGGCTATTTAAAAAAAAACAAAACAAAACAAAACAAAAAACAGCGAGTTAGCATACAATTGTTCTGATTGGTGCTTGGAACATCCCGAGAACATCACCACCATCCCTGATATACTAAAATAAGGACTCTACTCAGAAGGTTCTCAGTACAATGGGATGACCACTCTGGTAACATGATCCATGAGGTAAGAGCCAAGCCAAGTAACTGTAGTATTATAACACAAATTCCCAATTAAACCATAAGCTGTGATTACTATTGATCATACATACATATATATATATATGTGTGTGTGTATATATATATATGTGTGTGTGTGTGTGTGTGTGTGTATGTATATATACACACACAAACAGACAAGGCATAGATTGAGACTTATAGAAAGATTTTGGACCCTGTGCTCAAATGGAGAGATAAAGAAGCTATCCCCACCATGTTTTGGTACTATAGTATTTCCTTTCATTCCCCCCTCCCCTGCATCTCTAACAAGTAAAATTTGTCTACCAACATACTTGTAAAAATGATTACTTACTCTGAGCACTTGGTAATTTTTAGTCATATACAGTAAATAGTCTGCTGAGAAGAAAATTGATTAATAAAACTTGACTAAGTTGAGGCTCAATTTTTAGAATCATTTTTTAGTTTCTTGTCTTCACAAAAAGACTCACTGAGTCCTGCCTCATGCCTGAATATGTCTGTCCTCCAACCTCATTCTTTCCAATCATGCCACTAAATACCTCTCTGGACTCTATTCCACGGCCGACATACAGCATATACCAAAAGACTTCTACTTCGTAATTCTAGTGGAATGTCCGTGGCCTGATTGTCAGACGTGGCCTAATCTGCCTTAGCTCACTTATCAAGTTTAAACACCACTGTATCAAACCCAGAATCCAGCCTTAGCTTCTGCTCCTCAGACATCTGTTCCTCCAGTACTTCAGAGAGACTCAGACTAGCCCTCACCTAATTCTTTGTCCTCGATAAGCCTCCCTTATTAACTGGTCACACTGGTATTATATGACTCTCTGTAAACTGCATGTCATAGCCTTGGCTTCTGCAATTCAAAGGCCAATATCCCTTAAGTAAAATCTGGACATAACATAATATTTTATATTATCTACTATCCTATACATGTAATTTAAAAATAAGCTATTTCAGTGTCTCCTAAGTAGAATGAAATACAGTATTTTATACTGCAAATCTAGCTTTAAAAAAACAAAAACCACTTTAGTTATTTCTCTCACTTTTGCATGGATTAAGATAAACTGACAAGAACTAGCAACAGTCCATGGGATGGGTCATCCTTGGAAAGAAGCCCTTCAAGAATGTGACTTGTTAAGTCTTCGGTGTGGTGGGAACCATGAAAATCTGTATTTTTAATAAGGTACTTGGAGGATTCTGATGCTAAGTCATTTAAGACTGAATCATGTACTATCTTCTTGACCAGAATGCTTCAATTCATGTAAATCTTAACCCCTGCCAAATAAATGTAAGCTTATTTTTATTTTGAGGCAAAGTCTTATCATGCAGATCCCACTGACCCTGAATTTGTGATCCTCCTGCCTCAAGCCTTGAGGTGCTGGGATTACAGGCTTGCGCCACAGAGTAATTTTCAACTTCTTCAAGGGAGGGAGCCTAATACCTCCAGGTATACAATGCCTAAAATACTAACCTGCCCGTTCCCACCCTCCAGTAACACAGTAGCTAGAATACTAAACTGGGATACAAGCTCTGAGAAAAGACACACGTGTCATTTATTTAGTGTGGCTGAATACTATAAAGTATCTAGATTAATTTGTCTTCCCATCAAGTTTCACATGAACAGAAAACACTGTCTCTAGAAAACACTTACTTTGTCAGCTGAGCCTCCTTGACAGTTTTCTGCCAGATCTGTATCTTCCGCTCTCTTTGAGCCAGTACTTTCTGGTAAGCAGAGGGGAGACCCCCAGGTATCTCTGTTGTGTCCCCTTCCATCTCAAAGGGAATAATAAATACGTAGAACTCACAAGGCGGCAAGAGCCGGAAGACTCCTGTATCACTTTCCCTGCACACAACCATTGGATTATCCCAGTAGTTAGGTACTGTAGCAAGACCAGTCCTGGCCATGTGGTCCTCAAGCATTGGATAATGGGTATGAAACGGGGCAAAAGTTACATTCTGGTTCCCAGAGAGAATGAGTGGGCGTGAAGGTGTCATAACGTGAAAGGTGCAGCCTGTTGTAGAAGAGATGGACAGTCGGTGGCAAACAGCAATGACTTTTAGATCCTCACAGTCTTGGAGGTGAAGGGCCGTCTCCACAGGACCCAACACAAAGGTGCTATTCCTGCATTTTTCAATTGTCACAGATCTGAAAGTTTTTAAATGAGTTAAATTCTTCTGAATGAATTACCCAGAATAAAATTCTGACTTAAAAAAAAAAACAATTCTGTCCAAAGAAAATATCAACATGCTTACCGCAAGGGAGAGAGCAGATATATGAAAGACTCATTGCAGCGATGAACCCTGATGTGTGCTCCCACTAGAGTGTCTGAGCTCTTGGCCAGCGTCTGCTTGTAAACCTGGCTCATCACCACCATTTGGTGCACCTGAGGGGCCAAGTGAGCATTGCAAGCAATCTTAGCTCTTCTGGTTGCACCTTCAACTATTTAAGGAAACGCATGAATAATAAGACAGTTGTAAATCAAAGAAAAACATGTGACCATAAGATTATACATGTCTACATGTACCCATGCCTAAACTCAAGTACATGTGAAGAAAATGACAGAGTAGTGTTTACTGTTCTTTTCTATATATCTGTAATTTTTCAAATATTAAAAATGTAAACCTATCAAACATTCAAGATTTCTGATAGAGCTGTGTTTTCTTGTTTACCTTTTCAATTATGTGCCCAAGGTCCTAAACTAGTGATATATCCTCCAAGATGCTTCGCCATGTCCTCCCAATCATAATGGAATAATAATTATCATTATCATAACATAATCAAACTGCCATAATATCAATTCTGCAGCCCTCTCAATGTACTAACAGCATCAGTCTACAAATTCTTCTTGAGTTCATGTCTTCACCCCAAGACCATCATCACTCAGGAGCACATCTTCCCATCACAGGGTCCCTTCCTACACCTCAGTATGAGATTTGCTTGCACTTTCCACAAGCTATGAAGTCAACCTATACTGGGCCAATGTGGAAGATACACAAATACGCTAAAATTCTTTTAAAAGGCTTAGTTTTTAATTTTACATATACCATATACATGACACATGGTTATGTAGAAAAATAGTAAAAAAAAAGTTTTTAAAATAATTTGTTATCCTACTATCTCTGTTATCATTTTAATATACTCTTTGTTATTACTGTTGTTTTGTTTTTTGTGTAGCTCTGGTTGTCTTTTTTTTTTTTTTTTTTTTCCTCTCAACAACTTGGCCTGGCACCTAGCTTCATGGTACAAGATATCTGCAGACTTATTTTCCTGATTTTTCTCAAGAGTCCACAACATGAGGACCTATCTGTTAGCCAGGGATAGACAGACATACATTGACAGAGCAAGTGCTGAACTCTTGCTATTGTTCACACAATTTCTATTTCAGAAATATATTCCTAGCCTATGTCTATGCAACTAAAAGCCCCTCGTCTCTCTATCAACTCAGAGGTGATAACTCTGAGGTGCTGCTAAATAGAAAATAAAAAAGCCTTGAACTTGTGACTCTTCTGCTCTATCTTCTAAATGCTAGATTATAGGTATGTGCTACTGCACCAGGCTAGCAGACATCTAGCCATTAATATACCAGAAAACAGTAGGTTTCCTTGTTGTCAAGTTAACATCAGGTAAAAATATATTTAAAAAAAAATACCTTGTTGAGCCCAAGCCAATTTCTTTCCAGACTTGAGGCAAGCAGATGGGCCAAATGGATTTGCAGTCAAACAGGCTCGCAACCAGGCTTCCAGCTTGTAGAAAGAGAACGTCTTAGAGATCTTTGAGAAGCCACTGTCTGCATGCAGCGGTTGCCACAGTGCAAGTTCATGAAGGGGATAGACCTTCCTGGTTCTGCTTACAGTGCCTTCGATGAGGAAACTGAGCGCCAGGATGGCTTCTCGAGAGAGTACACTACTGTGGGTTGAGTGGAAGGACACATTAAGTTGTCCTGGGTCTAGAAGCAGCTCGAGGAGATCTGACAGATGGTCACAGACAAAAGCCTGGTGACAGTAGTCATTCCAATTCTAAAACAAACAAAGAAAAACTGCTCAATCGAACATGGGTATTCTGTAAGATAAAAAATTTGCATTTAATTATATTGTGTTTATATGCCGTTTCATTCTCTCAAAAGAATGTGGGTAGCTAGGTAAAAGTGACCTTTGTGTATGTGGTATTTGTAAACTAACTCGAAAGCACAGCAGACTCAACACCTCTTATCAAATGTGTTGAGACCAGAACTGTTTCAGACTTTTTCAGACATTTTAACCTGAGGAGCTTTCTTGAGGCTGAGACCAAATCATCACACTTTACACATACAGCCCAAAGGTAGTTTTACACAACATTTTAGTATACGTGTCTGGCTGCAATCTAATTATGTATGAAAGTAAGCATGGCAGGCACCCCCCACACAAAGCACTGGGTTTCTCAATTTACAGTTACAGTTTTGGGGCACCTAGACTTAACAGAAATTACTACCTTGGGAATAAGGTTTGAGTTGGCGAGTGTCCCTGTTATTCACCTCATCTATGTGAATTATATTCGTCTAGCCTGGGTTGTGCTAGATGATGAATACGCAAACTGAGTAAAACAGTTCTGTCCTTCAGGAACTCAGGAGTCCATGGTGAGAAGACAATAGAGACATGGGAGGCATCGCGTAAGAGCTGGTACAGAATCTATCTGTAGGGGCATTCTACAAGCATGAGAAAAGCCCCTCATCTGAAGAAAAAACATCATGACAGAGTGTTATTTGACTAAATTCTTGACTGACATTGGTAGTGAAATGAACAACTATGAAAAAAGACATTCAAGTTACAGAGAACAACAAAGACTATAGCTCTGTCAAGAAAACTAAGTTCTGGGTGGGGTATGAGAAGCATACTGGGAATAGAAACTAAAATAGCAGGCAGGACTAGTCACAGCAGGCCTTGGTCAGCTAGGAAGTTCTTCAATCTAAAGGACTGATAGCTATAGGTCTTCACTTCAAACCATACCAAGAAAGCCAGGCCTGGATGTCCACACTATCGTTTCAATTTCTTGGGACACTCAGGCTGGAGAATCACATATACCCAGGAGTTTGGAATCAGCTTTGTTAATATAATGAGATTCTGTTTCAACAAGGCAATGGTAAAACATTGAATAAGGCACTCTACTCAAGAGTTCATTTCTTGATGTTCCTTGAGCCTTAGGTGTAGGACTGTGTTGTAGATGTACCATTTGGGGCTGGGTCCTCCACAAACACTTATGAATCTCTGCAATGGCCTGCACAAAGAATTTGCTGCACAAAGAAGCTGCCTTGATGAGAGGCAAGAGATATACTAATCTGTGACTATAAATATTAGTGCTTGAAACACAGTTAAACTATACTGATTTAGGATAATGGTAGTAGTAGGTTCTCCCCCAAGATCTATGGCTTCTCCAGCCATAGGAAGTCAGTTGCTAGGTTTATAGTACCAAGCATGAATTCTTTCCCTTAAATCCAATCAGACAGCTGTTGATTACCTCCAAGATTTAAGTGCCACTATTGCATCACTGGAGATATGCTGCCAGGCCAATCACTGTTGTGGTTTGTATACAAAATGGGCGCAATGCTCAAAATGAGAGGACCAGGATGCCTGCTGCAAGATATTACCTTCTAGACATAACAGAGAAGCTGAATCTATCAAATCTTGACAACATGGTTGCATTAAAAATAGACCTGCAGTAGGGTAGTGGTGGTACACACCTTTAATTCAGCACTCAGGAGGCAGAGGCAGGAGGATCTCTGTGAGTTGAATAGAAATTTTTTCAAATCATATGGCAATGACATACTATCATACATACGTGACAACATCTGGAATCAACTAAAACCTAAGCTGTTGGGCTGATCTCTAAGGGGTTTTCTTAATCTGTTTATTTCTGGTAGGAAGACCACCCTAAATCTGGGCCACTCCTTCTGGTGGCAGTGGACCTGGAGGAAGGAAGCTTTGCTCTGTGCCTGCTTGCCCTCACCCCTGATGGCAAGTTCATTTACCCTGGCTGAGGCTGGCATAACTTCTTCAGGATTGCAGCACTGACTGAAGACCAGCAGCTCTCCAGGAATCCTCCAGGGTACAGCACCAGATTGGGACTGCAGAGATAAGCAGCCTCATGGACTCCACAGCTCCCAGACCCTTGGCCTTTCTACCAGGAGAGAGCTATTGCTGGCTACTCAAAACACATCCAGTAAGCAGTCTAATAAACCTCTTTATTATTGATACTGTTCCTTGAGAACCCTAATACACACACTTTATGTTATAGGGGGAACCCAGTAACAACAGACGTCCTTGTACTGAATGGTCCTACCAGTGAGCTGCTCAACCTGGTACAAATTCAGAAATGGGTTTGTTCCCGTAAAGTGAAGTATTTTGGCCTTATGCACTGGAGGATGTAACCTACACTAAAAATGGGGAAAGTTACAGGTTTAAAATAGAGAATGATCTCTAGAGCTGGGCAGTGGTGGTGCATGCCTTTAATCCCAGCCTTCAGGAGGCAGAGGCAAGTGGATTTCTGTGAGTTCTAGGCCAGCCTGGTCTACAGTGTGAGTTCCAGGACAGCCAGAGATGTGACACAGAGAAACCCTGTCTCAGGAGAGAGAGAGAAAAAAAAAAAAAAAAAAAAGAGTGACCTTCAGAAAATATGTGAGGCGGAACCACCCTTCAATTAAGCCTAAGAATTCTAGGTATCCTGGATTGAACACATGCTGTAGGATAGCAGGGCCCCAAAAGTTGTGAGTGCCCAGAACCTTGGCAGGTCTATTTGGTGCAGTATGGCCTTGCCTACTGGTACTGCCCAGCTGGACTTCACAGAGAATACAAAGATGCTGTGATGCACTACTACGTTCACACGTGTTGATGATGCATACAATGGTGTGGCCCCTTGAGATGTGTTATGTGCTCACATGGCTGCTACATCTTCCTTAGAAGGATAACTTTAAAAATTCCAACTACATTAAGAAATCCCAAATTTAGATACAAAGAAAACATTACAGGTTTTATGGAGAAATGTTTTTTTGGGGGGGTGGGGAGGTGGGGTGCTTAAGCAAGATGGAATTGCTGAGTAAATAGAAACTGTAAAATTAATACTGAAAAAGATATCTTCATCAAAATTTAAGCAAGACTAAAAGTCATAGGAAGCAAGGGTGATGGCATTGGACTTTGTGATGTGGGAATGGAGGGTTGAAAGCAAAATCAGTACCAAGAAAGCAAAAGAAGAAAGCAGTGTCTAGTGCTGGAGATACAGCATGTTCCAACACAGAGGAAGCCACAGACAGACAGACAGACAGACAGACAGACTGACAATTGAATTCCACCTGGTATTTCTATAGTATTAAGAAAAAAGAACGAGGAAGTTCAGAAGGCAAATGCTAGGAACTGACTTCCTTCCTATTCATGACAATTTCCTTCTTTTCTATTGTTTTCAAGAGTTTCGTGGAACGAGAAGAGTAACAATAGCTTTGCGTGTGAAAAACTAAACTACTACACAATACTTTGTAGAGCCTACCAAAGGCTACCTGTAGTCTTCAGATCTCTGGGGTGTATACTGTGCCAGCCTAGCCCTTCTTCATTTGCCATGACATGGAAGGAAGTGACTAGTGGACACAGCTCTCTTCACTTCACATTTTCCTTCTTATCTTTTTTGTTTTTCGAGACAGGGTTTCTCTGTGTAGCTTTGTAGACCAGGCTGGCCTCCAACTCACAAAGACCCACCTGTTTCTGCCTCCCAAGTGCTGGGACAAAAGGGGGTACCACCACCGCCGAGCTTCACTTCACATTCTCAAGAGTAGAAGAAATATTTGACAAGGTCCTCACTTTTAAGGCACTGTCAAACTCAAAAATTAAGTTTGGCTTATGCAAACATACAACTTTTTGTGGAAAAAAAATGGGTTGACTTACACTGATAAAAAACTAAATTTTAAAACAATCTTTCAGAATAAATGTAATTTTACTATTTATTAAAGATTAAATTAAAGTTGCATACTATTCCCACAGCACAGGAAATAAGACCAACAATCAACAAACAGGACCCCAGGAAACTAAAAAGAGTCTGTCTAGCAAAGGAAAGTGTCAGGAAAACAAAGAGCTCCTGCTTTCAGAATGGGAGGAAGTCTTTGCCAGATACTTATCTGACAAAGGCTAAAGGTTGATGATATACTAAGAAATCAAAAAGGTAAATATTAAGAAAATAAAGAACCAAATTAAGAATGGGCAATGGGATTCAACAAAAACATTCCAAGGATATATGAGCATGGCCAGGATACAGTTTATAAAGTGCTCAACATACTCAGTCAAAAGGGAAGTGCAGATGAAAAACACACTATGATCCCATCTCACCTCAGTCAGAAGGGCACAAATGAGAACAAATGGTGGTGTAAGTGTGGCAACAGGAAGGTTCTTCCTTACACACTGTTGGTGCGAGTATGGACTTGCAAACTACTGGAGGTTTCTCAAAAAAACTAGAAAGAGGGCCAGCATGGCAGTGCACACCTTTAATCCCAGCACTTGAGAAGGAGAGCCAGGCAGATCCTGCTGAGTTGGAGGCAAGTCTGGTCTACATAGCAAATTCGAGGCCAGCCAGGACTACAAAGTAAAACCCTTCCTCAAAACAAACAAACTAAGATGCACCTTAGAAACAGATCTACAGTATGACCCAGGTACACTGCTCCTGGGCATATACCCAAAGGACTTCATATCCTATTACAGAGACATTTGCACATCCAGGTTCTTGGCTATCCTACTCACAATAGCCAGAAAAACGGATCAACCTAGATGCCCATCAACAGATGAATAGATAAGGAAAATGTAGTACACATATACAATGGAATTTTAGTCAGCTGTAAAAAAAAATGGAATAATGAAATCTGCAGATAAATGGATGGAACTGGAAAAATTATCCTGAGTGAGATAACCTAGGTCCAGAAAGACAAACACCGAAGGTCCTCTCTCAGTTGGATTCTAGCTTCAAATCTTTTGTTTTGGCACTTCAGTGGGAGCCAGCAAACTAGAGTTATAAGTCAGGGAGGCCTCAGAAGCCCTGCAAGCAACATAAGCTATTGCTGTTGCCCTTGGTTACTGACCATTAACTACATGGAAAGACCTTATTACTGAAAACACTAGACTTTGGCTAAGTGACTATAGAAATCCATCTCAAACTGACAGGGAAAAATGCCTGAAGGTGCTGAGCAGGCTGCTGGGAAAGAAAAGACTTCTGTGAACACAACCCTCAACACTGAAATACTAATTAGCCAGGCAAGATGTCCCTGGGGCCAGAAAGATGGCTCCACAGATAAAGGTGCTTACTGCCAAACTTCCTGACCCAAGTTCAGCCCCTGAGACCCACATGGTGAAAAGGGGGAACCATCCTTTGTAGGAGCCCTCTGACCTCCACATGCATGCTGTGGCATATCCACAAGTGTACACATCCACACTAAATAAGAATCTCTATGTGGTAATTTTTCAACACACCTCATATACAAAAAGGCAGATGAAAACACTTGTTTTTCTTTAGAAAAGAAAAAACAGTGAAGACCTTTCATAAGATTCATTATGTGTGACAATTATGTGAGATAGGTTGTTAAAACACGTAAAATTACTTAAATAGTTGAAGGGGTGAAAGGGGAGATTTTCTTTTCTGTTTTTTTGAGCTAGAGTCTCACTGAATGGGCCAAGCTGGCCTTGAACTCATAACCCTCCTGGCCCCGCCTCCCAGGAACTAGAGTTTTAGGCACACTCTACAATGCCTGGCTTGATTCCAGCACACTGTTTAGTGAAGGGGAAGCATTTCCTTTACAAGATCTGAGTGATACCTTGTTGTGACAACTGGGCCTTTCTGTGAGGCTAGGGGACTGAGGTCTGCTTCTGGGACTGGGCCACTCTTCCCCAATCAAGGATGTCCGCAGGGAGATCTTGTTTAACTGCTGGATGTACAAGAAGAGTAGAAACTGCAGGGTGTCCACTGAAAGCTGTGCAGGAAATAAAGGATGAACACACCTTAAAACCACCCATCACTAGTTTACAACTGAGTATACAGTAAACTAGGGTTACATTGTGTCTTGATCTTAAAAACATCATATCTAGAAATGGCTATCATTTGATGGCCAGAGGCATTTCTAGGTTGCGTAACTGGAGTCACTTCATAGAAAGCTACAGGAAGTCTTTCTGAAAACCAATGTCCTTTCCAAAAGTATTATAGGTGAAAAAGCAGCCTCAGTAATTCAGATAGTTAGTGAACAGGTGCGAGGAAGAAAAAAGAAGGAAGTCAACCAAAGCTGAAAGATTTGAGCTAGACTCACAGGTGGACCAGGACAATCTAGGACATCAGTCTGACAACTGAAGCTTCAGTGTAGCGATGGGAACTGCGCAGTTTCTTACACAAGTGCATTTCCAAGGGAATGGGCCTCAGGCTCATGCAAAATTCTTAAAATGCTGACTTAAAGAAAATGCTGGTCTGGTAACACATCTATAATCTCAGCACTCAGCAAGCTAAGGAGGAAAGATCATGAGTCTGAGTCCATCCTGGGCTGCACAGTGAGACCCTGCTTAAAACAAAACCACACACAACCAAAACCAAAATCCACTATTGTTCTGCTGCCACCATCTTATCTGAGGATGGGTGTGGTTTGAAGCTCATGATTTTCATATTCCCATCCCGTGATGGGATGGGAATATGAAACAATGAAACAGTAACTTGATGTATCTGAGTCTACGTTACTTCTTGTCAATTTGGCACTAGCTAGAGTACCCTGAGAACAGGGACCCTGAACTGAGGAACTGCCTCTGTCAGAGTGACCTATGGCCATGTCTATGAGACATCTTCTTGACTGATGATTGATATAAGAGAGCCCAGCTCACCCTGGGTGGTGCCAGCCCTCGGAAGGTGGTTCTGGGTTGTATAAGAAAGCACACTTTGAGCAAGCTAGAGCAAACACTCCTCTCAGTCTCTACTTCAGTTCCTGCCTCTAGGAACGCTACTTGAGTTCCTGCCCTGATTTCCCTAGATGGACTGTAACCTCTAAGCAAATAAACCCTTCCCTTTCTGAGTTGGTTTTGGCCAGAGTTTTAGCACAGCAACAGAAAGCAAACCATACCCAAGAAGCTGAGACACACAGATTCCCAGGATCACCCAAATCCAGTCAACCAAGTGTCAGCTGTGAATTCATACATTTTAAAACATTGGACAGGGTTTTAATGTAGCCCAGAGTGACCTCTAATTTGCTATGTAGCGAAGGACGACCTTGAACCTGTCCCCACCTCCTTGGAGCTGGGGTTACAGGCATGGACTACCATGTCCAGTGTATTCAGTATCAGGGAAGGAACCCAGGGATTTGGCAGTGTGAGCAAGCACTCTGCCCACTAAACTACGCCTTTCTTTACTTTCTTAAACTTTTTGCAGAGATGTAAGAAATAATGTAGGTCCTGCATATTCTTCCCCAGCTTCCTACCTTTAAAACTAGAACAGTACCACAGCTAGGGTTCCTACCTGAAACAGACCAGAAAGAGAACATTCCCATCAATAAGAGGACATTTCCTACCACTTTACCCTCCCTGGCTCTTGGCATTCACTTACCAATTCTTCATCGCAGTGTTCAAAGAACGTTACACACAAGGAACAAAGAACATTACACACAAGGAACCACACTGAGGCAAGCAAGCACAGGAGCTGGTATAGCCTAGGACCTCCATTATGTGATGCACACCCCCATTACGTAACAGTATACTCAGCAGCCTAGTTCCTTTACCTATACATATTCTGCATACAAAAGCTTCTCCAACGTACCTAGCAACCTCAGGACTCAACTCCCCACCTGTGCCAGGTTACTCACACTCCCATTATTTGAACAATACTGTATGTTTCCCTGCCCCTGGTAACAATGAAACGTATAGTCTCTATGCAAGCATGTCCCCAATGTATATAGGTATAAAGAAGAGAAGGCCCAATTCAGCCTGAACTGGGTTTGGATGCATGCAGAATAAGGAAAATTATGTTGTCTAGAAACCTTTTAGGAAAAATCCTCTATTTACCATCTTATGTCTATGCATAATTGGGGATGCACATGATTAAAATCAGATACACTGTGGGGAGGTGCATATGCAGTAGAAAAACATGATTACATGATCCAAGCTTTCAATCAAAATAGAGAACCACCTTATTTCCCTTAATAACCAGCTCTTCCTTCTATCATACTCCATAAAAAGACTCTAGACTCCAGTCCAGGGCCCCTCAGTGTCTTCACTCATGTGGCCTGCTGTCAGTTTTGACAGTGTAACCCTCCTAATCTGTACTACCGCTTTACTCCAAATAAAATTACCTTGCTTCTATTGTAAACTTGTGTGAGTCTACATTTTCAATTCTTGGATAAAGTAACACTTGAGCTGGGCCCTGATCACCAGTAACAATATGATAACTGACAATTATAGATTTTATACATCTAGTTTAACAATCGTTGCTGCTTCAAGCAGTCTTCCCATAAGATAGGAAAGAGTCTTTCTTTTTCTATTTTAATAGCAACTACCTATTTAATAGTAACTAGCTAAAACTATGGTACATAATAAACATTCAAAAAACATGAACATTTTATTCATCTTCATGTCTAGGCACCTAGCATCTAATACTGGAAGAAACATGTGACTAATGACTAACTCCAGTACCCTCCACCTAGTGGTTGTGGGACAAAGTTCCAACGCCTTCTTTAGCTATTAGCCCTATGCTGCAGACACTGCATAGGTGCTGAATCCTTCTCTTCTTTCAGGGTATACATCCAGGTGGCTTTCATTTCCCAGTCTCAGCTGCAGTTAATATTGAGCTACTATGAGTTACAGTCAATGGAATGTAGATGAATTCATATTTATCACTTTCAAGACTGGCCCACAAAAACTGAACAAACAGAAACCAAAGACTCAGGTCCCATTGTCAGAGCTGGGGAAACAGTACTTTCTGTATCTGTTTTGATTCTCATCTTTCCAGACACCTATATAGCCCTACCCACAGACTGAAAGAAAACACACACAAAGTAAGTCAGACACAGAAAGGTAACTATGGCTTCCTTTATATGTTGTATTCATCTACCTTTTGTTACAGTATAATAGACTATGCATGGCAGGCTACTTTGTAAAAAGAAATTATTTTGGCTCACAGTTCTGGAGATGCAAGGCATCCATCCATTTGGTAGTGGCCTTCTTCAGCTAAAGTCACAAGATGGCCTGGGGGTATCAGATGCCAAGAATGGGAGTGACATATTACCTGTTCTCTCTCCTACAAATCCATCAATGTTAAGTCTACTCTAATGACCTTATCTAGTCCTGATCACTAAACACTGTAGTTAGATTAGGTTCTGGAGTGTGATTTTAAATTTAATTAGCTTTGTTAGGACATTATCCTACACATAAACCATGCATATTAGTTATAGATTATATACTTCCATTCTTTTACAGTTGAAGAAGCTTACATTAGGCATATATACATTTTCTTTATTCGCTTATCTGTTGATGGACAACTAGACTGATTCTGTATTTGGGTACAGTGTAGTGTAGCAGTAAACATGGACGTCAACTATCTCCTTGGTATGCTCACTGAAGACTCTTGGGCGTACCTTCATGCTGATTTCCATGGTAGCTGCACTGGCTGACATTCCCATCAGCAGTATGTGAGGGTTCCACTTTCCCCACATCCTCATCAGTATTCCTTGTCATTTGTCTTCTACAACAGCCATTGTGCCTGTGTGAGCTGGATTCTCAAAGCACTCTCAACTTGCATTTCCTTAATGGCTAAAGACACTTAACATTTTTCTCATATATTTATTGCCACTTAGATTTTTTTTGAGACTTGTTATCCAAATCATTTACCCATTTATTGGCTGTATTTTTCAGTTTGCTTAATTTCCTTAGTTCTTTATAGTCTAGTTATCAACCCATTAGATGTACAGTGTGCATTTTCTCTCATTCTGTGACGGTCTCCTCACTCTTCTGAATGTTTCCTTTGCCGTGAAGCTTTAAATCACACGCAATCCCCAGTATCACTTCTTGAGTTGGTGTCCTGTGCTCTCAGAGTTCTTCTCAGCAAGCCCTGCCTATGTCTGCACTGTATGCTGCTCTCCTCTAGAGCCTCAGGTATTTGATGCATTTTTCATTGGTTTTATTCAGAAAAGAGGGTCTAATTTCATTTTCCTACACATGGATATCCGGTTTTCCCAGTACCACTTACTGAAGACAACATCACTTCTCCCTGTGTTTGTTTTTCATGTCTCTGTTGAAAATCAGGCTGTAGCTGTGCTCGTTTTTCTCTGAGTCCTCTATTATTCTACATGTTTGTTTTTGTTACTGTGGTTCCTTATTTGAGATCAGGTATAATGACATCTCCAGCCCTGCTCTTTCACCATAGAACTGTTTCAGCTATTCAGGGTTTTTGTGCTTCTACATGAATTCTAAGATTGCTTTTCCTAGTATTGTAAAGAATGTCATCAAAATTTTGAGTTGTAAAGAACCTGTAGATCACGTTTGGCAATACTGCCCCCCCAATATCATTCCTGTTAATCTATGATCATTGCTGTCCTTTCTATTTTCTGGGTCATCTTAAATTTCCTTCTCTGGTGTTAAAAGTGTTCCCTGTGGGTCTTTAACCTCCTCTAATAAGTTTATTCCAAGGTTGTTTGTTTGTCGTTCCTCCCCCCCCCCATTTCTTCCTCAGCAAGTTCATCCTTACTATATAGAAAATGTACTGATTTTTATACATTGGTCTTACATTTTGCTGCTTTTCTGAAAATGTTTGTCTGGTGGAGTCATTAGGATCTTTTTATACATAGTATGTATGTATTCTATTTATTTTTTATTTTGAGACTAAGTTGCCCAGGCGAGACTTAAACTCACTCTGCAGCTCAGGCTGCCCTGAACCTGTGATTCTCCTGTCTGTTTAACAGCTGGGATAAGAGGCCTGTGCCATCAGATCTTGTTCAGACTAAGCCTGTAC